TTGCTTATTTATTTATTTATTAATTTATTTTATTTTATTTATTAATTTATTTATTTTCTTGAGGATATCCATAGTTCCAGGTGGGGCTTGTTTGTTTGTTTATTTATTAATTTGTATATTATTAATAGATTTAATTTAAATGTAATATTATTAAAATGTAACTTAAAGATCAATCATGATTTATGTGTGTGAAAACATTTTTACATGCAAAGTGAATGAAGACGTCGTTTGTAAAAATACAATAGAAATACACCCAATAAAGCACTTAAAAAAAAGAAAAGAAAAAATCTCATCTGGTAGGTCTTGGAAACTCCAACCACAGCTGAAGAAAGTGTGTCTTTGGAAGTCCTTAATGACTATAATCATTCCCTCATTGGAGGATAGTCATAGTTCTATTAACATTGCATTCGCTGACCATGGATCTCACATGCCACAAGCCAGCGGCTTTCTCTTTATTACAGCGGCGGCTGACGCTTTCATTTATCTTCCTCAGGAGTGTGGCTCCTCTGTTTACATGCCTTGTGTTCTTTTAATCTATTCTGTCCTTTGTTTGTGTCGGTCCGGAGGAGGCAGTGAGTGAGATACGGAGGGAGCGGTCGGTTCTCCCGCGGTCCCCGCTGTTCCACTGTCCTGCGTCTGGAGCTCAGAACTGGCAGAGCTCATTATGGACTGATTCAAGGTCTGCCAGCACAAACCCAGGGGGCCTGAAACAGCACCGTGTGCAGCGCATACCCCGGCAATCTCCGTCGCGCACACACACACCGGGATCTAACACCTGCAGCAGCTCTGTTGTGTACACATGCACACAAAAGCCAGGGCCAGAAAAATGGCCATAGTTAAGCGAGGCTCATCAGAGGCCCTCGCTGAGCGCCCGGTTTGCCGCCTCTACCTTCCCGCTGTAATGTTTTCCATATAAAAGCATGCAGGAGGAAGGCGATGTGTGCCTGTGCTCAGGGTCCCACAGCAGAGCATGAGGTCTAATCCCCTCATTAAGGACAGTCGGTGCTCAGGCTCAGATGGTGGGCTGGCAGAGTGACAGTGAACACGGACGTATGCACGCGGACATACATGCACAAGCCTGCGCCATCCGTCACTGATGCAGGTTGCTGGTGTCTCCTGCACGTTGTCATGCTGGACATTTCTGGATAATAACATCCGTGCGCAGCGTGATGTACGGCTATCCCATTTCGGGATGCTATCCCTCAAGCAGGTCCTGTCAAATAAAGAAATGTCGTTTTGAAAAATAGACGTGCCGCCCCCAATCCCTGAAATTCGCTGACAAGGTATTCGACGCATTTAATTCCACTTTCGCCATCCGTCTTTTGTTTCTTCCTGCCTATCATTCCTTAACACACCGAGACCTTTTACAAGACACTGATGGGCAATATTAGTAGCTCGCTCTTCTAGCTTATAGGATTATAAAGACAGTAGAGTGCTCTTGTAAAAGTGATTCATTGACTAGTACATAGGAAGAAATATGATCATGAAGTGGAGCATCCGAGCTTTTAACATCGCAGTTATCAATTTCCTTTTCGTTCTACAGCAAAGTGAAGGTCTCATCCGCAGTTCTGTTGCATTTGATGTTGTTAAGATTGTGCGCCTGTTTGGCAGTTGTAGCTTTGTGTATGTTTCGACAACAAGGTTTTATCTTTAAGTTCTGCAGATCTGTTTTTGGTCTCCACATCTAACCAGATTTTTTTAATTATTATTATTATTAGTAGTAGTAGTAGTAGTAAAATATATTTTCATTTTATTACTGTATTTTTTATTATTATAAAATATTTGTACTTTTTATTTATCTATTATAATTATTAAATGTTTTTTTCTTATTATTGTATTTATTTATTAAAATATTTTTCCTTTTTATATTATTATTATTATTATTATTATTATTATTATTATGCCCAATAATACTACTACTACTACTACTAATAATAATAATAATTTTTATTATTATTAATATTATTATTATTGTTGTTGTTGTTAAATATTTTATACTTAAATTTGACTTTACTTATGCTTATATTTACTTATATCCTTTTTACTCTTATTATTTTGAAAAAGTATGTTTTTATTATTATTATTGTTGTTGTTGTTGTTTTAAAATATTTTTATCTTTAAATTTTACTTTACTCATGCTTATATTTACTTATATCCTTTTTACTCTTATTATTTTTAAAAAGTATGTTTTATTATTATTATTATTGTTGTTGTTGTTGTTAAATGTTTTTATACTTAAATTTAGGGATGCACCGAATGTTCGGCAACTGAAATTATTCGGCCGAAAATAGCAACAAAAGCTCTTTCGGTGTTTTATTCGGCCGAATAAGCGAAAAGACCGAATAAATTGTACCGAACAATGACGTGACACGATCAAATAGAGGCTCGCACTAATGCAACAAACATGTTGACAGTGTGAAAGCATTTAAAACTGTCCGAGAAAGACACAAAAATCATTACAAGCACCGACAGCGAGAGACTGATTAGCACTGCATCGCATGTCTCCGAAGAGAAGTGAAAGGGCTGATTGTTGCTGGTTACTGTATGATGACTGAAATCGCAAAATGCCCTTAAACAATTAAATAAACTACAGAACGTTGTGTTTTCTAAAACACGAACGAACTGCATGTATTCAAACAGCGCTGCATGAGCTCGCGGCGCCAGGGTTCAAAGTCCAAAGCGCGAGAAAAATCTGCGCTGAAATAGTGTTATTCGTCAGTTGCTCAGTAACATTTTTATTATTTTTTACAAGGCATGTGACAATGCGATACGGGCAACAAACGTCTTCCCAAATTCGTAATGAGAATCATTTATAAATCTACTGTTGTCAACAAAAAGAAGCACTGAGGTCTTCCTGCGGGTTTCTGCCAAAATAAAAGCTGAGAAAAAGCAAGAACTCCATCAACATTAATAAATGTTATTATTGTAATTTTACTGTTGTTCTGTAAAATAAAATAAAAAAGACAATAATAAGGATAATAATAATTGCAACAGCTCTATTAATACATTTATTATAGCATTCACACATAGTGTTCAGACTGGGATCTGTAATATTTTCTAATGTTTTAAAAGAAGTCTCTTCAGCTCAGCAAGGCTGCATTTATTTGTACAGTAAAAAAAAATACATGCCTGATTCAAGAAGTGGGTCTCAAAAATGGCCAAAAAATATTATTTTACTAACTTATTCATTTTAAGTTAAATTGTGTTTTATTGGTATAATGTCTGCTAGAATGTTCAAAAATGTTCAGTGTTAATTAAATATTTTTAAAGCACATTTTGGCTATTTAATTTATGCAATGGTGAATAAAATTGGCAAAATGGGGGAAAAAATGCGAAAAACCGTGTTCGGTATTCGGCCTTCGGCCCAGTGTTTCGTTTTGTTCGGCTTCGGCCAAGAATTTTCATTTCGGTGCATACCTACTTAAATTTTACTTTACTCATGCTTATATTTACTTATATCCTTTTTACTCTTATTATTTTGAAAAGTATGTTTTATTATTATTATTATTATTATTATTATTATTATGTTTTTAGTTATTATTGGTTATTATTGTCATAATAAGATTTTTTATTTTTGTATATACATATGTAATTACAAATGATAAATAATATTGTTTATTACAAAAGTTGAACAAAAGCATTATGTAGCTGTACCAGTTATAGAAAAAAAAGACTATAGTTGTCACTCTTTTTCTTGTACAACACCGCAACTGTTTAGTCGCAAATTCGTTAATAGGCATAACGTAACGTCTCTTCCACATTTCCGTTCCGTTTGATGTTGTTTAGCTCCGTATCGTGTGCCTGTTTGGCAGTTGCAGCTTTGTGTACGTTGGGACCGGCAGATGGTTTTAGCTTTGAGTTTTGCAGCCCTGTTTTTGGCCTCCACATCTGACCAGACTGAGTGACTCGGGTCACTTTGTAGGACTTTTTGCGGACAGCTGCGCTCTGGATTTGGATTTAATGGCAGGCAGATGCTAAGTGATTCTTTGCTGGGTTATTGGCTGGTGCGTATGTCTGTTTAGAAGCATCCTGAGAATAATTAAGGCTCGAAACATGTGCAATGCGGAGGTATTTCAAGGGAAAGGAACGTGGCGGATTTCGGGGTGTACGCGTGGGCATTCGGTTTGCGGACACGGACTTGCCTTTGTAGCTTGATTGCGCCCTCTTTAAATGCAAAACACGTTACGCTTCTTTCTTGAAAGTTCGCTGACGTGGTAATTTCCACCCCCCCCCTTTTGCTTTTTAGGTCCCGTCTTCGCTTAGCTCATCTCGTCGTGTGGCATTTTGATCTAAACACACGAGCGAATCAAGGCGAGAGAAACCAGGCGTCAAATTGAGTGAGCGAATTCGACTGCGGTCTGCCAGGCTGATCCAGTGTTATTAGTTGTCTGTCTCAGAGATGGGTAATGGGGGCTGACACTCTTTGAACGCGAACGGCACGCCGGGGACCCCCGGGAACCGAAGGGGAGCTCGGCGGATCTCATCAGGGCTAGAAAATGGTGTGGCGCTTTGTTAAAGATAGACTGGGAGTCTGTTTCGATGGGAGTCGATAACCTCTCCCTTCTGCCGTTTGATGGACAGCGCAAGAGCGAACGAGTGGGGGGCGAGAAAGAGGCACGCTCTGAATCCCAATTTCATTACACCGAGATAAAAAGAATATTAGATGAGAGATAGAAAAGATAAGATGGGGAGCAAAAGAGATGAAGGCTTTTTTCTCGACGGATCGAATGAGAGCGAGAACCGTCAGTACACAGGGCTGTAGTTCTCGTTTTAAGAGGTTGGAGTACCCAGCGCGTCGTGTCTCTCAAGGGCCTTGCTGAGTGAGTTATGAGTCCATTCTGTGTGTGTTGGCAAATGGAGACGGGGGCCTGAATCCAAACAGAACACACAACCTTGACCAGAGCTAAACCGAGAACCTTCAGAGGCGTGAGCCAAAACATGTGGCAACACAGGCTGAGCCTGCGAACCGGTAAAAATATCCAGCCCGCAAACAAGCATTGTGTTCAGAGATAATAAGAAGTGTCCGCAGTCTGGAATAATAAGGACAAATTGGTAGGAAAGCTCAGAATGTGGCAAGCAATCTTCTGGTTCAGAATAAAATCAGTATGTGGAATATAAACCTGGTTTAGTCATTTGCATACATTGTGGGCTCACCATATGGATTGAAACTCAACATGATGGCTCTCTTTAGTTAGACACAGACAGATCATTTTTATTTGACAAATGTTTACATTTTTGTATGTTGTACTTTTTTAATATGGGAAAATAGTATATAATAATATTTATAATAATAATAATACTATTTATTTATTTATTTATTTTACAATTTTAGTTTAGTTTGTCTTCATAACCTTTTGATCTGCAGGCTTGCTATATAAATTTAAATTCAACATGAATTCAAAAACAATCTTCTTTACATTCGTAGTTACATTTTTTTTTTACCTCTATATTTACACTTTTTCATTTAGGCTACTTAATTTTGCTTAATCGTTCATCAGTTCCTTAATATCTGGAAATGGTGGTTATTTTATTTTATTTTAAAAACTTTTTTCAGAATGTAACCATAGGCTTGCTGTATTTAAATTTAACATTAATCATTATGAATTGTTTTTGTTTGGCATATTCATAGTTCTCTAAAAGTTCTATAATATATAAGTAATATATTATTTATATAATATGTTTTTATTATTGATTTATTTTATATACCCTTAATCAATATTTAATTTGTAAAAGATGATAAAATATTAATTAAAAAGAAAAAATTGAAGATTGTAATTTTTCTTGAATTTCTAGCTAAATTTTGTGATAAGGGTTTTTTTTGTTTTGTTATTGTTGTTATTGTTATACTTTCCACTTGTTTATAATTGATAAAAAACTAACTGAAAGCCTTGCACAAGTGCACTTGATAGAGGACTGACAGATAAACCGAAGCAGTCTGAGGAGATTTGCTGTAGATTTGTAGATTTGTGTGAGGAATTTGCTGTTACTTTAACCTTGACTTCTACAAGTCAGTTTCTCTGTGCGTTTCCTCCATCTGCCAAAGGTCTGAGCTCAAACAATGACACTGCTGTGAATCGATGTGTCTTCAGGGTGCTGAAGAGAGCGTGAGGAGGTTCAACTCAGCGCTCTCTGATTTTCTGCTGGGTTATTGATTTCCAGGCCTCTCTCGTTCTCTTTATCTCCCTCTCTCTCTTCTCTTGGCCGCTCGCTCGATCCTGGACTCCCAGTCAGAATCAGATGAGTCCCGTCCCAGCGGAGCGGCTTATTTTCCTCCCTCGTCTCCTCATTCCTCAGCTATGCTCTATATTCAAAACGCTGAGATTTCTCCTGGGGGCTTCGAACAAGGAATATACTGTTACAGGCGAGGAGAAGGGAGAAAAAGAGCGAGCCGGTGTTACTAGATACCAGTGAAATCAAATCTATTTGCCTTGCCCCTGAGCAACATTCATTTTCCAAAACCGCTGGACTGACTACGTGGAATGTAGCGGCTCTGAAATGTAACATTCTGTCTTCCTGATTGAGCCGGTTTCTGAGATAAGAGCTTCTGTTTGCTCCTCCAGCATCTCTGAAGAGTTAATCAGTAATCTCACTCTCCTCCGGATGAGCAAAACATATAGTGACTTCATCCCACAAGAGCATTCTGTTTCTCAGCGCTTGCTCTTTCATAGCTAATGGAGAGCTCATTTGTGAAATGAGATCACCTGTGTTGTTGTTGTTGTTTACTTATTTTATTAATTTTCTGTTTTCATTTTAATCTTAGGTAACATTATAGTAGTTTTTTTGGATACACTATTTTGTGTCCTTGTTACAGTGTAATTATACATTTAAGTACTGAGTAATATTAATTAACTACATGTATTTACTATTTGGTTAGGGTTAGGATTAGTTTTTGTCTTAGGGTTACATGTAATTATGCATACTTTATTGTTATTATAATAGTGAGTGCATGTAACAGGTGTAACAAGGACACCTTAAAATAAAGTGTTACCATTTTTCTTATTTTTAATTAGTTTTTTTTTTTTTTTTATCTATATAGTTTTTTATTTTAATTTCAGTTTTAGTTTTAGTTATTATTTAATAAATGACAACTAGCTGAAAGGTTTTTCCCCCTCCAATTTAATGTTTATTTATCTTATAGCAGGGTTTTAATTGAGTTTAGTTTTTAATTTTGTTATTATAATTAACTAAAATTGAAACTAAAACCATAAAAAAAACATTACTTGAAATAAAATAAAAGTTAACTAAAATAAAATAAAATATTAAAAGCTTTTTATTTCAACTAGTTATTTAATAATTTAATTTAGTTAAACTTTATGTACTAAAATAACTCAAATTAAAACTGAAATAAAAATGATTAAATACCACACACACACACACGTATGTATACTACTAAAAATGACAAAAACACAACAACATTACTAACACTTTTATTTAAAATTAAAATAAAAACAAAATGTAAAAATAAAAACTAATTCAAAATATTATAAAAAATGATCATATAATACTCAATTAAACTAAAATAACACTGATTTCAAGTGATGCCATTTTCTTTATGGTGTTAGATATAGTTACTAAAATAACCCTGCGTGGCAGATCAGAGCAGAATTTTGAACTGCAGATGCATGTGAGATTGTTCATGTCTTAAAGGGATACAGAAACCTGTATGACTTTATTCTGTGAAACACGATAGAGTAGATATTTTGAAAAGAAAGAAAGAAAGTGAGGGTGAATAAATGATGACATATTTTTCATTTTTGGGTAGACTGTGCCTT